ATCATAAATTTTTTGAGGGCTGTTTAAACCTACTTCCGCTAGTTCCTTTGGTGCTGGTAGAAGGAGTTTGCTGGGGTGTTCACAGAGTTGATCTGGAGAACTCTCTTCCAGGCTTCTATTACCTACTTTCATGAAAGGCCTGGTCCCTCTTTTGTCTGTCTTTACATGATTAAGTCTTCTTTCCCTCTAATGCTTTTTGGATTGCTTCATTCAAACTTAATCTAAGTAGAAGATCTCCCTGGAATGGGAGAGCACACAGACCAGCTTTTGAAAAATAATGCCTCCCATGAGTGGAGCCACATGGCTCTTCTAAGAGCCATTCTTAAGGCCTGACAAGCCAATGAAGCCTCCAAGGTAAACTGGTAAAACCAGTCTAAAATGCTTGCTAGAGTCTAGGAGATGAGATCTGCTAACTCTGTGGGCTATGTCCTCTTCTAAGTTATCCACCCAGACTTCTAGGGCTCTAGAAACCAAGGTCATAGCCACCACTGGATGGAGGCCTGAACCAATCACCAGATATTAACAGATCTGAGTCTAGTCTTTTATCTATAGGTTCCCTATGAGACACCATGCTGTCAATCAGGAGAGTGTTATCAATCCTTATGACTGCTGCTTCTATTTTTCACACACAATTTTACAATTTTGCATTCTTTAGAAGAAAATGTATGTACTTTGCGAACCTTCCCCTGTAGTGATAATCTTTTTTCAGTCTTGTTCCATTCTAGTTAAATAAGATCTTTTATGGTCATATGTAAAGAGAAAGTAGGCCTACATGTTCTGAGATCTTTAAAAAAAATAAAAATGAATACATTGGAAGTTGCTGTTTCCGATCTCTCCTTAGGGACTTGTAAAGTGCCTCCACCAAATAAATAAATTTATCTACTATCCTGAGTTCTATAGCGGGACTCACTGACTTCTTCGTCTTCTTTTGAACCAAGTCCTGAAACTGTTTGCTCTCTGAATCTGAAGAGATGGTAAAAGCTCTGAGTGTTTTTAAAAGCTGGATTTCTCTGCTATAGGCTGAGAAATTCAATGCTTCAGATCCATTTGTGGAGATCTCTTCCTTGTGTGTCTTTCTGCTACTTCTTGCAGACATGGGAAACCAATGTTATTGCCTTAAGTTATGTTATGAACCATGGCAGTCTGTTTTCTGTCTCTTTTTCCTTGGAGAAGTCTAAGGACTGTTTCTTGGGCTGAAATGGTATGGCCATATGATCAGTGGCGTACTAAGGGGGGGCGGGGGGGGGTCCGCCCCGGGTGCCACCAGGGTGGGGGGTGCCATGACCAGCCCCGCCGCCCCCTCCCCCATGCTGTAGCCGCCCGAGCGCTCTGTAGAGAGCCTCAGGCGGCTGCAGCTTTGCCCGGGCGCAGCCTGAGGAGAGGGGCTGACAGGAGGGAGCGCTCCCTCCTGTCAGTTCCCTCACTGCAGCATGGTCCGACGGGTACAGAGAGCAGCTGTCTCCTGTACCCGG